ATTACTGCCCGTTGTTCTGGCCCAGTTACCTGTCACCCAACAACTTACCTGTGTATGGGAAAGTACCCAGGTTTTAAACCTTGAAAAACATCAATTAATGTGTCTTCATTTTTTTTCATATTTTGAATTTTTTTCATTTCATGAATCTCAGAGCAATAAACAATCTCTACAACCATTATGCATATGTATGCATATTTTATCCTTATTATAAATTTGAACTAAATATTTACTAAAAGGGATAAGGATTAAAAATTAAAATGACATAATAAAAAAAAGAAGAGAATGTTTTAAGAAGGGAGGAGGAGTGACATTATGCTCTTCTCAGCAGTACTTTAAAGGAAAACACCATATCAGAAAGAGTTTATTGAAAGACCTCACCCAGGTTCAATTTGTCACATCATATATATATATATATATATATATATATATATATATATATATATATATATATATATATTCTGTTCAAACATACAGTTTTACAGGCATAGTGGTATAACTTCTGCATGTGAAAAGAAAGCAGTAATCAAATCAGGCTCTGTTCCCTATCCAATTTGTTTCTGTTTCCCTACAAACAAGAGGAGTTGGCGGAAAGACTGACAAGGTTCTTCATGTTTCTAAAGTAATCCTCTGGTTTATGGGGAAAGGCAATACTGAAGCCTATAAAAAGAAAAAAAGCAAATGTAAATAAGGATCCATCTCTTTATTACTTCGGGTCCTGTGATATGTCAGTTATTATCTTGATTTGTTGATCCTGTTCTCCTTTGAGGAAGACTCACCATCCAGAAGACTGAGAAAATGCGTTCTACTCCCAAGTCATGTTATTGGATGAGCACAGATGACTGATTACTTGCCCAGACTTACGAGTCACATTAGACCTGACAGTGTATCCTGACTCCACTGATTGTTAGCTGTGAGACCCTTGGGAAGGAACTAGACCTCTCTGAGACTTAGTCTTCTCATCTGTAAAATAATAATAATAAGTTGCCCCAAAGTATCATAAGGAACAAGAGAGCTGAATAGAAAAAGAACGTAACACAATGTCTTATCCAGTGCTTTGCAGCTGAGGGTTTTCCTATTTCCAAAATAATTATGTCATCATAGGATCATAAGATGAGATAATTATTTTGGAAACAGAAAAGTTATATATATATATATATATATATATATATATATATATATAATTTTCTGTTATATATATAATATATTCTATATATAATATATATACACATACACACACATATATGATATGGATATATAATATATAATATTTATTTATGTACACTTGCTATGTGACTACTATGTTACAAATCATTTAAACTTGGATTATTTCCAGTTCTTACAGCAATGCTGGGGGTGGGGAGCTGGAGGGACAAATACCCTCATTTTACAGATGGAGAGATTGTAGCTCAGAGAGGTGAAGTGGCTTTCCTGAAAACACACAGTGAATATGTGACTGAGCACAAATTGAAACTGACTCATCCAAACATTAAATCCTGTGCTTTTTACACCAGGCTGAGATGGCTACTCCTACAGGCACTGTGTCCCAGAGTGAGACAAAGGAGAGAAAGCAAGGCAACCTCGGAGGTCTCCAAACCTCCCTATTTTGAATAAATCCCCCAATTATGCTTGAAGTTAGACCAGCTTTTGAAAACTCAACTGCACATTCTTTTCCCATCAAGTTCCTTGAAATTTCCCTTTAAAGAGCATCTAGGAAAAGCCATTCTCATTAGCCAGGGTCTGACTTTATTTTCCTAATAAACAGAACTTTGGTTAGACAAAAGGGCCTCTTTTATTTTCAATCAATTCTTGAATGTTTCAGCTGATTTTCTTCTATTTGGCTTGAAATAGTGATCTGGGAAAGGCTGGTCCTGCAAATTGTCCTCCTATAAGGGAAGCCCCTTGAGGATCCTCAACTTGTTATTTTTAATCACTGTAATCTCCTTTCAAAGGAGGCCCTGGTCAGAAACAGAGCAGGCCTTTCAGAGCTTTCTAAAGCACAATTATTGCTGGAGGTGGTGGTTGGTGGTAGGGGGAAGAGAGAGGGAGGGAGGGGGAGAGAGAAGTGGTGGGGGAGAAAAGGAAGTCAATATAATACTAACAACTAACTGAAAGGCTGAATAACAATCTCAACTAGGCCCAGGCTGTGGGGAAGAAACCTCATGATTCAATTTTTTAAAAATGACCATTTTATTCCAGTTCAGAATACCTAACAGCAGTACTCACATCAGGGTTATTACTTGGGGATGAACTGGAATACAGAAGAAAAGAAGTTATTGATCCCAAGGATTGTAAGGGATCCTAATTCAGGAAAAAAAAAAAAAAACTAAAGTAAATAGAAAAGCAGGGGAATGTGAACTTCCACAACTCTAAGGCAATGCAACGGGCAAAGTGCATTAGGTTTACTTTCAACATAATTATCCTAAGAAAGACTAAGCCCACAGAAAATGTCACAAACTAGGTCAGTGCCCTTTCTTTGAAACTTTGAGTGGCAGAACAAGATTTTTTAGTTGCAGAATATTTACACAGGAGACCTTAGCATGGTTTCTGAAAGATCTTTCCTTCAAGATCTCTTAGCCACAAGAAAGGAGAAAAGATTATCACCCTACCTACAACCTCTTTGCTTGTCCTTTGGAGCTGGGTCAGTTTCCAAAAACCTAATGATTTAGGCTGGAAAGTCCAGGGCCCTCCCCTTCCAGTCCCAGTTCCTCCCAGTTGGGCCTGGGGAAAATTCTCTGGTCTTGTCAATATGGGATGTGCTGGGACCACTGATCCAACACTCAGGCAAACATGAAGCATTAGTGTGGGGAAGAGATGCCAGGAGGACACTTGGCCAGAGTCCCAGACTGACCTAAATCATACCACTCAAAATCTTCCTGGACTTAAATTAGGAACAGTCTTTGACAGGCTCCTAGTATGGAGAAATCAAATCATCACACATCCAATTAGTTCATGAGGACCCAGATAATGGTCATTCATTGTTAGATTGACTTGGAGCAGTACTAAGGAAGTCTCTCTCTCTCTCTCTCTCTCTCTCTCTCTCTCTCTCTCTCTCACACACACACACACACACACCTCTGACCAGGCACATACCTTATTAAACCAGTAAAGTCCTCAATCCAACTTGAACTAAAGTGTATTGGGGACCCGTTCTCTCTGACACACTGACCTTGGTAAGCTCATTTACTCTCTACAACCACCCAGAGAAGTTAGGTAAACGGCTATTTTTACAGCTGGGAAATGGGCTCGGAGAAATTAAATTACTTGCACAGGTCATACAGGTGCTAAAACCTCCCCCTCCCCATCAATTGTCTCCTCACCCTCTTTGCTTGCCTGTTGGAGCTGGGTCAGTTCCCTAGTGAACTCTGGCCCTGGGTTTGGGGGAAGACGGGAGAGGCCTTTGAGATTACCGCTGCTTCTCTCCTGTAGGCTGAGAGAACTGGCTACCTCCCGCCTCTGCCCGGTGATTGTCCCCACAAATCGATTCAATTCCCCCTTGACGCCGCTGTAACCCGCACGCTCCCTCCCCGGATGAGCAGATGGGCGGATGGGCACGGTGCTCTCCACACATCTTTCTTCTTGGGGTATCAAGACCCCGCGGACGCGCGGGGAGCCTGGAGCCGACCCCATAGCTCCGAAAGTCGGGTACGCGAAACCGGGGGAAAAGGGTGGCCCCTGGTTCTGTCCTGCGCTGCGCGTGGATGACCGGGTGTCGGCTGACATGGTCCCAAACTTTCTCTCTTGTTGCTCCCCCCTCTTTCTCCCGAGGCTCCAGGGACCCGGAAGGCGGGAATGGAAGGGATATGACTGGGAACCCATTTGTCCCTCAGGTGCCCCAATGACCCGTTCTTCTCTGCTTGGTACTGGAGTTGACTTATGAGGGGGCGGAGTTGAGGGGACTCGCGCCCTGGCGGGACACTAGGTAAGGCTAAGCAGGCTTCCTTCCCTGACTGATGTCCTGTGTCCCACCCTAAAAGCAGCAGCTGCCGCGGGGGAAGAGGTGTTTGGGGAGACGTTTAGCTGAGGAGGGAAGCAGTGGGCGCTGGGAATGGAGTTAAGGGTCTTGGGGTCGATGCCAGGCCAGCTGCCTATCCTACCCTGGAGATGCTCACCTGTTTGGATACCCTCCTCCTGTGCTCCGGAAAACCTGTTCTTAGCTGATCAGCGTAGGTGCGACATCTCGGTGGCGCCAAGCCTCCTGGCTGCAGGAGACAAAGTCCCACAGCCTCCAGGGAGCAGGCCTGGACTATAAGCTATCGAGGCTCCCCTTTCGGTCTTTATCGATTTCCCCTCCCGTTGGGAGCTATTCTGGGTTCTTTGGGGACCCGTTCTCACTGGGAACCCGTCCTGGAAATCCAAGGTCCTTTCTATCGCTTGGGACCATGGAAGAATAATCTGGGCATCTTCGTAGGGACCCTTTCGAAGAGCTTCAGGCTTCTTCCCTTCTCCTCGCGCCCTGGGACGGGTTAGTGAGAAGCCGAAGTCTCTTCTCCGGAACAGATCTATCCAGGGAAGCCCGAGTGACCCTCCTGCTCTGAGGGGTCTGCTAGAAACTGGTACCCTTTCTTTAAGGAATGGAAGCGGAAAACGCTGCCTTGCTTGTGACTCGACTGAGAGAAGACAGGGTCCCCTCCTCTCCAGAGACCGATCTGGAAAAAGTCAAGTCTACTTCCCTCCTGACGACCGCTAGGGTTGGAGCGGGGCTCCCTCACAGTCAGGCGGGTGTGACGCGTGGCTCAGCTACAGCCCCTGCCTGGGAAACGCGCCCTTGGGATCCAGGCTGCTTTGCCTGGCTGCGACTCCCGCGACGGCCCCGGACGTTGGCTAGCAATTCGCGCAGAGTGCTCGGCTCAATGGGCTGAGGGCAGCCAAGGCAGAAGGGCCCGTGCAGGGCAGCGCCGGCTCTGTGCGCCCAGGGACCGCGCGCCCTCCTCTGGCACCGCGCGATCGGTGCCCTCCAGGGGCCGGGTCCCGTGCCCTCATCGCCACGCCAGGCCACTTACCGCGGTAGCTGCTTCCTGGCTTGTAGAAGTCGGGGTCACCCTCCACGCGGAGGCTGAACTCGGTGTAGCCCTCGCGCCTTGTGCCCTGGGCACGCAAGATACGGCTGCAGTAGCCCTCCGACTTGGCCACTTTGTCCAGGGTCTCGTCGGAGAAGGCCAGCGCCAAGGCCAGGGGCAGAGCCAGGGCCACCAGCGCCGGACTCCGGCTTAGCCTCAGGGGCGCAGGAGGCAGCCTCATCCTCGCGGGTCCCCAACTTTGTGCTGTGTCGCCGGCTCTCACCAAGCGACTGCTGCCTGAAGTGGTCCCGGCAGAAGCGATACCTGGAAGAGCCCAGGCGGAGGAAAGGAGCTCTGAGCAGCTCTGGCGACTCGGAGACTGTGCCCGCCTCGGTTTGGCGGCTGCCGAGCTGCGCTGCGCTGAGCTGAGCAGAGCGAGCCAGCAGCGCGAGGAGGAGAGGGCGGCGGCGAAGGAGCGGGAGGAGGGAGGGCTGATTTTGCCCAGATCCCCCAACGCAGCGCTGTTTTGTTTCCGAGCCGGCGATTAGCGGAGCGGGGGTGTTTATTTTGCGACACTGGATTCCCAGGGTCTGGAGGGGAAATTATAGGCGACTGGGACACTGCGGGCTCTCTCCACCACCAGAGAGGCTGCTGCCCCAACCCCCGACTGCACTCTGGGACCCGTGGACCACCGCGCTCCGAGGAGGGAAAGCCTGAGAACTAACTTTCGTTGCACACCTACTTTGCACACTACTATGCTGAGCGGTTTACTTGTAGTGTCAGCTCACGGTCTCCACTCTCACCGCACACAATGAACAAACACTACATTACTTTCACTCATTTTATAGACAAGCAGATGGAGGTAGACAGGGTTAGAAGCGTGAGTTTCTGGCTCCATCGCGCTTCCCATAGGCATATTGGAACAGGTCGGACTGGAAGATGAGAAAGGAGCCAGAGAACTTATTCTCTGAGCTCAGCAGGCACAGTGCCTAGGGCCACAATTCGTTTAGAGATCTATGCTTTTTCTTTAAAAGCAGTAGAGAAAAACATTTAGGTTGAAGAAAATGTTTTACTATATATATATTCATTTTTATATCCAAACAGCCAAAATATGTTTAATATTGTTTTGTGAAGAATGGAACCTTCCAATACAAAAGTGCCTAAGGACTAGGAAGGTCCTCATCCAGATCTGGAAAGGAGTTTTGAAAGAGTCAAAGAAGAGCTTGTGTGTTCTTGGCTTAGATTTTAGTTCAAGTTTGCTGTACCCAGGAACAGGTGTTTGGAGATGTGCTAAGTATGAAAATTCACTGGGCACAGCCCTACAAAACAACCAGAGGGTTGGAGGGAAGAAGAACCCAGGCAGGAAGCTCTCCCAGTGTCTCCCTGGGGAGAGACCTGAGTCAAGCCTAGGTCCTGCCAATCCAGAGCAGGGAGGTGGGGATAGATGCTACTATACCCTTCCTGGGGTAGTGCACTAAAATTCAACGAAATTCCTTTTATGAAACAGTTGACCTTCAGCACTCCCCTCCTTGGGGACACATTTTGCCTCCTACCTCTCCTCAGTGCACATAAGCATCCCCAGATGTTTTCAGAAGCTCCCTGTACCCCTTGCTTCCTTGGGACCTTCAAAACACCCCCAGTGCCTCAATCTCCTTTGCTTTCCAGATCAGGGTTTTCTCTTTCACATTACTTCAGTCTGTGGAAATCCTCTGCCTTGAAGGTCCTCCCACCTGCTCCTTAGTCCTCATGCTTGTGACTCCCATTTTCACTGCTAACTGGGCACTATCTTCCAAGAATCACCTAAGAGTAACCCCTTGACAAAACCTATACTACTCCTTTGTAAGCACTGAGGGCAAAGACTGAGAACTGACTTCAGCAGCCTCCGATCCAGTTGACCAACCCTCCTTCACAGAGGTGACACTCAGATCCACACTGTGTCCTGAGTGAGATACCTTCATCTCCACTCTACGGACTCAGCGCTCGTGCCTGACCCCATGTTGCGTCTCTACTCCCAATCACTCAGCAAGCTTTCATAGCATTTAGATTTGGAGCCAGGCTCTGTACTGAATGGTAGACACAGAAGAGAACAAAAATTCATTCATTCGTTCATTCACTTATGTATATTGAAGGCTCTCCATGTGCTCAGTGCCAAGATGTATCTTTGTGGATCTTACAGTCCTATGGCGAAGTGAATATTAAAAATACAATCATAAATTTTTTTCAAGTTGTAATTATGATATGTGTTGGTAAACTAAGTCCTTCAAGACAGTGTTTCTGATCGTATATCACAGTGTAGGAAATTATAGAAAATAAAATCTAACTTTTATCATCTTGGAGCTTATTGCATATCCTATAGCTTAAATATGTGTGCTCTTGAATATCTTTTCATTTACATCAATGCATCCAAATTTAAATTGGAGGTGGGCCAGCATGGGACAGGCAGGGACATAATATTTAATTTTTTATTGGACACTGACAATAAAACTATGTGAAGTAGGTGGATTTATTCCACCACCATCACTATTCCTTCACCCCATTTCCTAGATTAGGGACCTATAAAATTACCTATCTAGGTAATGTACCATGCTAGTAAGGGAAGAGAGCCAGGACTTAAAATAGGCCTTTCCAGTATCAAGCTGGGGGTATTTTCATTACCCAGTGTTGGCCCTCTCATCTGGGTTATGACAGCAGCTCCAATCAGCACACTAAATGCTAACCTCACTACATGAACTAGATTTCCCTGTCCCAACCTGGCTGCCACTTCCAACTTCCGCTCTCTCTTCCACACATCTGATCCATCACCCCGTCATCAGTCTCACCTTTCAACTACCTCTTGAACCTGTCTGCTTCTTTCCCCCTTCTCTGCCAATCACCCAGGCCAAGTTGTCATCCTCTCTCAGTCTCCTAATTGGTCTGCCCCCAACTATTCTTCTAATCTATCCATCCTCCGACAGAAGCCCAAGGGATCTTTTTTACAATGCAGATTAGAATGTCAATCCTGAGGTTAAAACCTTTTACAGTGACTTTCAGGGATCCCAGAATAAAGATAGACTCTTTAATGTGAACTCCAGGGCCCTGCTTGATCTGCCTCTCAAGCCAGGTGCCTCTTCTCTCATGAGTTCCAGCTACTGCTGCTTTTCAACTTTGGAAGATTTTGCCTGTAAGCTTCTCTCTGCCTGGGGTCCTGCAATGGTGGTTAGTTTCTCCAGCCCACTGCCCTCCTCTGGCTGAACAGGATGCATCCTTCAGATCTCAGTGCAAAGCCAATTTCTTAGAGAAGCCCTTCCTGATTTTGTGGAATAGACCCTACCATTAATGCTCTACTGGAACCCAGTACTTTTTCTTTTAATAGCCTCAAGATTTATATTTTTGTATTCATTTGTCTGTTGGATTTCTAAATTTTATGTTTATTTAGTGTCTGTCTCCATTGATAATTCTATGCTGCACCAGGGCGGGAACATCAAAGTCTCACCACTCTGTGCTCCATGGTCTTAGTAGTACCTGACTCAGGGTGCAGATCTACAAGTACTTGTTCTCTGGACATAGTCTTTTAACAAGTTCAGTCCAAGTTTTTCATGTTGGCCTTCAAAGTCCTCCATAACTGATCTCACTGTACCCATCGGGTCATAGATCCCAGTCTGAATTTCCAGTATAGCCCAGCTAGGTCGTCTTGGTCCCATGCTTATCAATGTTGCCTTAACACCTTTGCTTAGAGCTTTCCTCGTGCCTAGAATTCCTTTTACCCTCCTGCCTGTTTAAACTCTCCTTTGTGGAACAAAGTCCTGCAGTCTCTCCTCCTCTAGACTGGAATTGAGCTCAGGAGGAGAAAAAGTTTCTTATTTTGACTATTAGTGTGCCACTGGGTTGTCACGAACCGTTTCTTGTGTCCATGTCTCATATCCTAGCAATGAATCCAGTTTATTTTCTGTTTAATTTCCTGTTCAGATGTTTTGTTCTGCTGTAAAATACACTGGACTTCAAGAAATCTCTTTCCAGTTTTGTAGCCTAAGGCAGAGCTGATGTTAGTTGCTAGGGTGTTGCTAGGGAAAGTCATTTAGCCAGGGCAGATAATTAACTTTATCAGTGTGTGTGGGTAGGTTGCTGAAAAGAAGATCTGGGGGCTCCATTTCTCCAAGAAAAAGAAAAATTCCTTGGATTGGTAGGAGATAAGGTAAGCCATTTCTTGTTTTGTTTTCTTCCCTTTAAGAAACAAGGAAAAAAGCCTTTTCTACATTAGTTTTTTTCTGAGGATGTTCATCAGATGTTTGCTTCAAATGTGGATTCCAAAAACCTCACCTCAGACCCCCGAATGTGCACTTTGAACAAACTCCCATAAAGTTTAAGGAATCACTGTCCTAGAGTCTGTGATTCATCCTTAAAGTTCAGGGGCCCCTGTTTGGCTGTGTAGAGCTGGGGTGTCCTGGGAAGCCACATGATCTGTCTAAACTGCTTATGGGCAAAATTGGGAAAGGAAGTACCCATCTTCCCTATCTCCTGGAGTTTTGACAAATAAATAACTGCTATAATAATTTGTAAACTTCAAAGTAATTCACCAAAATAAAAAAACAACCTGTGGTTATTGTTTTTACTCTTATTTTACTTATTTAGACAAGTCTCCAGAAATGCTGCATCTAGAAAGGATTTCTAGGAAAACAAAGCAGATAGTCAATGAAGGAAGCTGAATTGCCCTGAACAATCTATTGGCAATCTGTCATGAGGAGAAGTCCAGAAGCTCTCTGCAAGAGAGCTAGCAAGTTTTGAGACTAAGCTATGGAAGATGAATATAAAGAATTATTTTAAAATTTAAAAGCAAAAGATATTAATTTAGTTTAAAACACACTTCTTCAGCACCTGCTGTGTTCTAGGCATTGACCAAGTCAGGTATGATTTTAAAGTGGAACAGGTCCAACCTGCAATTCAACTCAAGGGGGGAGAGCCTTGTCACCTAGTTTTTGCAGTCCTTTGGTCTCTGTTCGGTTTTGCACTTCCCTCAGCTCCCTGGAGCTTTCCTCTATCTGTTTTCTATTGTCAGATCCAGATCAGTATTCTAGAATATTCTTCAAGAGCCCCTCTTATTTTAAAACTCACTGCACCCAATCTGTACTTCCTCATTTTATTTCTACCATCTAGAGCCTCCAGGTCACTATCTTGCAGCCAGAGAGGACTCTGCAACTGGCTCCCTAGCTGGCTGCCCATCTTGACACATGTTACAGGCCTGGGAGACGAGGAAGTCTGAGCTGATGATCCAGCCATTGCTCTAACCTCCTCTATTCAATGAGCTTGGCCTCCCTCCATATCAGCAACCCTCTCTCACAGAATTCCCTTGGCTTTGGAAATCTTGAGTGCTGAGCAGCCCTTCCTCATTCTACTTTCCCTTCTCCCAATTCCTCACCCCCTTGAATCCACTCTTTTTGGTTATTAAGGCCTGTAGTTGCTCAGCTTAATCGCTTCTGATTTTCCCAAGAGTCAGTTCCTCC